TCAAACGTCATCGACAATTAAAAGGTAAAAAAATAATAATAATTAATATCACTCAATATTATTAAAGGTAATATTATAATTGTTAATTTGTTTTTTTTTTTTTGTTGCTGCTGTTTTTTAAAGTGACTGGCCAACCTTTGTTAACACAGAAAGTTATCAAAAAACATTAACTCGAGTTGATTCAAAAACACTTATTGAGGCAGTCTCCAAAAGAATCAAAATTATAGAAAAAAGTGATGATTTGTTAAATGGTGTTGTTGACTTTATTCCCGAGAATGGCTTTATTGCTGCCAAGTTGAAATAAAAAACCCTCCTTATCTTTGACTTTGGTTTTAAAAGATTTGGTGTAGGCGTCATATATATACACACACACATATATATTGTTTTACATTTAGAAAGCCTTTAGCTGTGATGGATGTGTGTTTGGTGTGGTGCTGGAAGATGAAGAAGATAAAAGAGGAGTGAGAAATTGAAAACTAAATGAGAATGAGGTAAGAATTAAAAAAATCATCCACTAAAAAATTTTTACAAATTTTCATACCTGTTAATTTTTTATTATTACTAGAAAAAGCTAGATAAACAGCTTGTATGTTTATATCAAAAAATCATGATACTACTACAGATACACTATTTTAGTGTAATATTTTATTTATTTAATTTCATTCAAATTATATATAAAGACATTCATTATATCATATTTATTTAATAATTTATCAAATATTTATTATACAAATAAATATATAATAAAATATCAGTATAAAAAAAAGATTACTACCTTTTTTTTAAAAAAAAAAAAGTGGGAAAAAACTTACGGATAAGGCTCTTTCATAATCATGCTTTTTATAATACTCTACAAAATCGACCAATTTAAGTAATGTTTTATTATCATTTATAAGATTGTGTGAAACATTTTTGGTATATTGCTTTTGATCATATTCTTTAGATATTCTAGCAATTTCTTTAGGATTAAGTTGAATTGATGTATCTGATTGTAACGTCAATCTACATATACTAATCCATATATACTCTGCAAGCATTTTGTTGAGTAATATTACACATTCCTCATAATTCTATGAAATATAAAAAAAAAATTTTAATATTTAAATTTTAAAAATTTAGGTACGTAAATATATAAATATACCTCGGTTATTTCATGTAAACGTCTTGCAGAATTATACTTTCCATCATCATAAAATTGGTTAGCAAGTATATTGATAATTTTCTCTTTAAATTCTCCCTCATTTCTTATAAACATTAACTTCATAAATTTTTTCATAAGACCCTTTTATTTTTTCATAATAAATATTTTAAATTTTTCAAATCATTAATGATAAT